GGGCTATAAAACTGCACACTCGAAAAAACTCAGAAAAATCTAATAAAAAAGTTGAAATTTTGTAGAATTTTTATAATTTTTATGCAAAGTTTGAAATATGAATTTGTATGGGTTTTGTTAGACAATCAGCTATACTTTTATAAGAAATAATAAATATTAAATAAACAATAGAAAAATAGGTAAAATTTTCTAAAATGTCGCATCTCCATTTATTTTTCCACCTCTGTATGTTCTTTTATATATAAGTATGTTCCGTGTACAAGCATGAGAAAACAATTTTATATTTCCTAATACATTTTTCTTGCCTTTTTCTTAACTGTCTCAAGTGCAACTCTTGAAGGATAAACCGCTGTAAATTAATCAACACCACTTGAAGCGCGTGAATCTGTTACCCCTTTCAGGACCAACGGAAACATACATCCCAAAAAGCTTTTCCAATCATAAGAAAACGGTGGCAAATATTTTTTGTTTTTTTTTTTTGATTTGGTTGTTATTGTTTTAAAAATAATATTTTTTAGTTTCATTAAATTTTTGGGAACTTATTTTTTTATTTTTAAATACATTTTTTTTTCGTTTCATAGTTATTTTTCTTAATTTTTAGATAATATTGCGTAAAAAAGAAAACTTTTTTTCATTATATTTATTTATCTTTTATTTTTATTTTTTTATGCTTTTGAATATTTTTTTTTTTTTAATTTTTAGATTTAATTGTTTACAAAAGGAAAAATATATATTTTTATTTAATTTCATTTTTAGAATCTTATATTTTTTAAATGTTATTTTTTGTATTTTTTAATATTTTTAATTGTATTTAATTTTTATTTACATTTCCTTTTTTGATATTATTTTATTTTCTAATTTATTTTTTTTATTAATTTTTGATTGATCTAAAAAGAAAAAATATATATAATTTTTACTTCATTAAATTTTTACGATCTTATTAAATGTTAAAGTTTTTTTGTATCTTTTTAATAAAAATATTTTTAGTCTCATTTAATTATTTAGTACTATTTCCTTCTTTTTTTGGTAACATTTTCTTCTTTTTCTAATTTAATTTTCTTTTATTTATTAATTTTTATGGTTCTAAAACGAAAAATATGTAAATTTTTTATAATTTAATTTAATTCTTAAAAAATTTATTGCTAAAATGCAAACAGTATAACGCTAAGACCTCTTCTTTAGCAGATCATTCAATCAGTCTTTCGAAAGACAGTAAAGAGCTTTCAAAATAGTTGCCAGAATAGACAATTGTCTTACAAAAGACTTTTGTCTTTCGAAAGACTGTGGTAAGTTGAAAGACAGTTGCCAGAATTGCCCTCTAAGTTTACTTTGTCATGTGCATATGCAACAACCTTAATGGCTTTCGATGTGGTACGAAGCGGAAATTCGTTAAGCACGAGGTTCCATAGCAGAGGAGCTCGAAAACCATGCTGAGGGCCACTTCGTGTAGTCGTTAGCTTATTTACTGACTTCGAAATACTTGGGATAAACCCGTGGATTACCACTCAGAATTACAATAACCTCCAGTACTTATCAAGAGAATATTTACAAATTTTGCTTAACTTTCAAGTCAAATAACTTAATACCATATGAAAGCACTTAACAGAACTCACGCTGCAAAAACATGCGACTTAAATATAACATACCACCGATTTTGGATAAAACAAACTCAGTATTATAGTTAACTTACGAAACAACTTTACTTACACGTATGTAAATCTAATACAAACCACTTGAATACTATAATCACCCCATTAGTTTTGAAGACGATGTCGCCCGCCGGCACAATGATTGATGAGTTGCAGCCAGTTATCTAACGCATCGAGTGTTTAACGTTTGAAAAATTTACAACTTTGTCTAGCAGACATAAAACAATTTGTTACATTGCCGCTCCATTCACAGCGCGAAATTATGATTTAAATATTTAAATATTTAAGTATGTACGTTTTAATGTAGGTATTAACTATTTGCCATTGCCTCTGTGTATGTTAGAAAAAGCAAAACATAAAAAAAAACTCATAAAATATAATTTTTAAATAAAAGAAGGCATAGCATAATTGAAACTAAACAAGTCTTATCTCGCGAGTGAGTGAACGAACGCTTGACCACACCACCCGCTGAACGCCTCCCGCTTTAGCACTACTAGTGTTTGTTCGTAACAAGCGACGCGCATGCGCAACGAATTAATGAATGAAAGTGCTCTACGGGCGATACATCATACATACATATGTATAATACATACTTATAGTATGTACGCAGTCATGTATTTATGTATGTAGTTTTGCTTTCCATACGGCCTATATTGATTAATGACAGACAAATAACGCGCGCGCGCGTGCGTGGCGCGGCAAATGCTGCGCAATCCACGCTCTTTAACATTGATCAGTATACAATTTGATTTTTTTGCTCGTCGGTTTATTGCGCTTATGTGAATCTTGATATGTATTCACATATGAATGAATCTGTGTATACTATATATGTACATATGTATGTATTGCAAATGTTAATTCAAAAAACATTGCGTTAATCTGTCAACGCTCTGTTCTCTCACATTGAAGTCAGTCGTTTACCTCTTTGAGCCGGCGTTTGCAATTTTGCTATTTTTTCTCGCAACCAAATAATGTGTTAAATCTATTTCAGTAGTCAATTTGCATGCTTTAATTAAGGCTTTTGCTACAAATTGTGATGCATTAGCGGGCGCGAACAATGGTTTGGCAGAACGGTTAAGTTTTTTTGTGAACGCGCGTTTAAATTCACAAATTAAGGTTTTGAACCTTGCTTCAAATTACACCAATTTTTTTGCACGATAATTATGTTTAGCCTTAATTTTATGTGCAATTAATTCCCCGTTTCAGTAAATTACACTAAATTGATTTTTGTTTCCCTTTTAATTAACAAAAATTTCTGAACCGTGTCTGTATCTATCAGAATTTAGAGTCTAATAAGGTTTATTTAGAACCAGTTATGCCATATTTAGTGAAGTCTGTACCTAAATATTGTAAAACATTATGCCCGCAACAGTTTGCAGTGAAAGTTTTATACACTTATTTTTACTACTCCGGCGTCAAGGAATCCATTTCCATGGCCGCAAGAACCGGAAAACGCATTTTAATTTTGCTTTTGTGAGCTCACTTCAAGCTGTTTTATGTAAAAAAAGATAGAAAATAAAATGTTATCTTTAAAGGACGATTATATGAAAAGTAACCTTCGCCCTTTTCAACTCATTTTTAACTAAAGAACTTAAACAAATATTAAAACGGCAATAACAGCAAAAATATGTGTTCAAAACTCTTGAAAAAGTTGATTGCATACTGTTTTGAAGCAAAAAGAGTAAAAAAATTTAATTTTTTTGAAGGCCATTTTAAAGGTCAGAAAGATTTTTTTTTTGTATTCTCAGCTTCAAAACCTTTGAAATACGGTTTTATTTACTTCGCAATCTGCTCTCGTTCCTGAGAGCAGATTGAAATTTGTCACAAAAAAGTTCATTTTCCTTATTGTGCGTCCTTAACTGACTAAATTGTGGCCCCTTCGGAATTTACCTTCGTAACTAAAAACCGTTACCATTACTACCGTTACCGCTGCAACATCTCGAATTGGCACTGCTATTGCATTTAAATTCACCTACACTATTGTACCGAGTTGCCTTTCTCCTTTGGGATCCGGATTTTTTTTATCATCTCCACTATAGTTACTATTACCATTATCATTGATATTTCCTTGTTTTAGACTTAAAAGCGAAAATTTATATTTGTATTATTTATTACTCGTATTAAAAATGCATAAATTTGGGGCGAATATTGCTCCAAAATGTTGTTGTATGTATTCCATTTGCTCTTACAATTTGAGTTCAAGTTTGCATAGTGCCCTCGAAATGACCTAAGTACTTCCGAAAGTTAAGGGCGGGTGCCTTCCTATCAATGCGTTTCTTGAACTTAAGGCAATGAATATAGAAAAAACTAGATGAGCTCATTCCGACTGCGAAGTAACGAGTGTTTAAGAATGTTAGACAGAATCGATGACTAAGACTTAAAAAATACATATAAAAATGATCAAAAAATATTTTCAAAGGCTGGGTAGAAGCATAGTCAGGTGTGTTTGCAACGATGCAACGAGGAGTGGTCCCACATGTTGTTTGCCGTCCCACTTGCTCATTGAAAGCAAATATCTAGCTGGACTTTCTGAGATTGAGATCAACATGAGTTTTGCCTCCCCGCAGCTTTTCGGTGTATCGATGTTACATGATCTTAGAGGTGTAAATACCTAGAGGGGCTTCTATGAAGTTTAAAATCTAAGGTTACACTTAAGTCTGTTTAGGCGCGACTACTAGCTCCAAGCGCCTAAATGCATGCTATAAACTGCTGCGTGTTGCAAAAATTTCCTTTATCAAATTTATGATATTTTTGCATATGCACTTCTCAACTGTCACGTAATACAACTTTCTGAAGTTATAATTTGATTGCACTTCAAACAGAGGCTCGGCCTAGTCTGATGTATCCTACGGACAATTCTTCCGCAGCTTTTTGCGGCCTCTGGATGGCTTACAACAGAAGTGGTAACAGATGGCCACAGTGCCTACCCATTACTTTTTGGTCAAATTTTTTTTATTTTTTTTTGTTATAAATACATGCAAACATACTGGTCTCCCCTCTCACTGAGTTCATCATAGTCAGTAGCCTTAAAGCTTGTTCTATTTCTTTGCAGTTCTGTGTTTTTCTTGGAATCTTTTCTGTAAACTTTTTTTATATAGTTAATGCTATGAAAACCATGCATACTAAATCTCAATGTCTAACCTTTTTAACTATTCTTATCGGGAAACACCATCGTTTTCAATTTCTATTAATACTCAGCTTCGTCTTTTAATTTTCAAAAAGAAATTTACACGCAACAAACAAACAAACGGAAAGCGTCACGAAACAGCACCCGAGAAGCGCACGAATTTTACTTTTTTCTAAAATAAACAATTTCACTAATTTTCTTATTATTAATTTTCTCCATCTCAGCAAATTGTAGCAACACGCGTTAAAATGATGAAAAAAAACTTTAGATAAATAAAGTAAAAGCGAGGACAGACAACTACGCATGAAATCGCCACGTCTAGAAAACTACTAACCAAAAAAAAAAAACAAAACAACCAAATACTAAACAAAGCACCTAATAGACTGTTTGATTTAAAAACTTGCCAATGACCAGACGTGTTTACACCTAAATTAAGCGCAATTAGCGATTTTATAAACGCCCATGCGCACTGAAAGTATTTCGAGCGGACGCAACTGCACCGCATCCGCATACGCCACTGCCACAGCATCCGCTGTGTGTGCAACGGCAGCAACAGCTGGCGCAACAAATATGGCAACCATGCCAGTCGTCTGGTGTACAGATCCAAATTCAGAGAATAAACAGCCCACAGCTTTCGCGCTTCACGGCATTCAATTGCAGGGTAATGTGACTGAGAAACAGGTATTGGCGTTGCGCGAGTTGGTGAATGCCGCCGCCGAGGGTAGACTCATATTGCCGGCTGATGGCACTTTTGTGCTGCTCGACAGCGGCATCAGCATCGAAAGTTCGATAGTGAAAAGCAATGGTGACAGCGTCGATGCGGATGGCAACAAAGAGAATGCAGCGCATAATGTGGTAGCTAATGTGACAAATGCCAGCGGCTTAGATGAGAAGCAGACTAAAAACACCTATATACTTATGCCTGTGGCAACAACAAAGCAGCGCGCATCACAACAACAACAACAACAGCCATCAGAAAGCGCGGAGCTACAAGAGAAGTTGAAGATGGAAAAAGTGCAGCAAGTAGAAGTGGCAGAGCAATTTGGCGACGAAGAATTCGAGCCAAAATACTCGACATTCACGCCGCCTAGCTCCAGTTATGGCGACGAAGTGCTCTACGAATTTCTCTGCTGCGCCAAATGTATGAATGAAACCTACGCGTCCCGGTGTCCAGCATCTGCGGCGTTCTCTGCGTGTGCGCGAAAACGCTACAGCAGCTGTCAGTATGCTACGGATGCGCTTGCACCCAAAGGTAATGAAAGTAGGCGCGCTTTAGCTGCAGAACGACTACAACGATTACTCAGAACTTCCGGTCGCACTAGCGCCCTCGTCGATTGGGGCGCAATGTCGGCGGCGTCGAACGCAAGAGCAAATGGAATGCCCACGCCATTAGATGATCCTGTATACAGTATTGCTAATAAGTACACGCGCCGGTATCAGCGCAAGCATGGTCTTAACCCTGCCTCAGCATTAGGCGCACGTAATCGACAAAATCGACGCAAATTACCTATGCAAAGCGTAAAAATCTTTCATAATCGTTGCACTGCAATCACAAATGGCAGCAGCAGTGGTGGTGGTGGTGGTGGTGTTGGCGGTGGTAATGGAGGCAGTAGTGTAAGCAATAGTCGGAGCAATAAAATTGGCTGCATTCCATTGTCGGTGATATCGACGCTACCTACTTATGCGAAGCTGAATAAAAAACAAACCGACAAAAAAGCGCCATCGCAGTCGAACAGTCGTGATTTGGAAGTAGAGGAGCATAGTGCAGGAATGACACTGCCGTCAAAGAGAAATAACAAAAGCGCAAAGGTGTCATGTCCACATGAAGCCAGCACTGCGGTAGCGGGCGATGATAAACAAACCAACTGTGATACACTAATGGAAGAGGTAGCCGCTGCTGAAGTAGTAAGAGATCTAATTAGTTTCGATGATGATGATGATAACGCCGAGCTAAAGACGACTAGCAATGCCGGCGTTGGGTGGCAAAACCTTGCTTGTGCTACGAAGACCTTCGATTTGCTGTGTGCGCCCAACAAAGAGTTGACGCCGTCGTCCGTCATAGCCAGCGAATGCGATCACGATCGCGAGCACGAAGTCGACACCAACGACTGCAACCTTCCACTATCAACAGATGAGCTTTGCATGCAAATTAGCAACGAATCAGCCAAATTAGCGGAGACCGCGACAACGGCAAACGCCGACGACGTTGGCACAGCTGGTGTGGCCGCACAGGCGCACAGCAACAGTTCAAGTAGAAAAACGAGTTTCGATTCAACTTGCACCATCAGTTCAATGGATTCTGGTTTCATTGAGATGCAGAATAAATTGGAGAGTTCACTACAGAGTGCGGCCGGTGCTATATTGCACGCCGCAGCTGCTGGTACGTGTGCCTCCGCTGCGAATGCGCGGCCCTCATTAGCGCAAATTTTTGATGGTGTCTGCAGTGCGACGGGTACCGAAAATTCCCATACACCAGAGTGTGGTACTGCAAAACATGTAGCTGCGAGCAACGGCGAATCTTGCGACGCGCCGGAGAAAATCGCGCGCCTCTACTATAAGGAATGTCTTACACAGTCGCGCAACCGGCGCAAATCGTACGAAGAATTCAAGGCGATGTTTGCCGCAGCGGCACAAATGGAAGGCGCAAGCAATGCGGTGGCAACGGCGGCGGCGGCGGCGGAAATATTGGCGCGTCGCAAAGCGCTGCAGGTACGTAGCGGCGGCAGCTGTGAAAAGGAAATACAATATGGCACGTCAATGGCAACGCCAACAACAACTGCAATGTGCGCAGCTACGCCGATGGCAACAATGTCGAATGCATTAGAATCGATATCAGAAACGGCTGTAACCGCTGCGGAGGGAGGTGGTGTTGGCATGCCAGTTGCCGCGTCTACACTTGCCAATCACAATAACGCCGCTGCGATCAATGAGTGGAACACATTTGCTGTTGTGAATAGCGACACGAAACCGGATTGTGTAAACAAGTTTGCGGTGGGCACAGCTGAAACGAATACTGCTGACGTGTCCGCCTCACTGACACCACCATCGGCGACAAGCGCGGTGGCGACGGCATTACAACAACGGTCAACCACAGAAATTTTGCGTAAGAATTCCGATTTTCTATCGCAAATACTCGACCAGAAATTGCTCGCTGCCAAAGAGAAAGAAAAAGCGCACATACGCCGCAAATCTTACGAGGAGTTCAAGCGTTTGGTGCGCGAATGTGAAGCGATGGATGTGGCGGAAAAGTGCAGTGATGCAACAGAAAGTGCAACCACTGGCTCACCGACCCCATTTAAACGTCAAAATTCGCGGCATCGCAAGAGTTACGCATCATTTTTGTTAATGCGACGCAACTCGCTGAAAGAACAACAAAAACCTACGAACACTGGAAGCTCTAACGCCGTCGTCTCACCACTGGCAGAGTGCAATGATGCTGCCGCAACAGCTGACTTGCAGCTACAAAGCAACAACGGAGCCATTGTGCCATCAGCGACAGCGCCATGCATCAATAAAGCTGTCGTCGGCGGCAGCGTTGGCAGTAATTATAGACGCAACTTTAAAATCTACGATAAGCTTGTTTATGGCACCATTTATGACATCATACAACGCAAGAATGACATTTACAATCTTACTTACCATAAATATGACAAATATATGACATACGGCACCATTTATGAGATTTTGCACCGCAAGACATCGCAAGCATCGTCCACCGCGTCGTCAGTCACAAGTGCGGGCGATTTCTTTCAGCGCAAAAGTCTATCGGCTATTTTAGAAAAAGATGGCTTGGCTGTACGTGAAAGGAAAGCTAGTACTTCCAAAAGCGAAAAGGACAAAGAAGACAAAGAATGCAGAGAAAAGAACAAGTCATTAATGCCAACAATGATTTACGATATTATACAAAAGCAGCAACAGCGGCAAACGCAAGCTCAAACGATGGATGCTCACGTTGCCACAGGGAGCACCGCTAGCGAACCAAATGCGGTCACCTTGACCACAAATACTCCTTCCTTGTCGGCGCATTTGGGCAGCGGTCGCAAATATGGTACGATTTATGACATTTTACAAATGGAGAAATCGGATGCCAGCACGACTACAGCTGCTACAACCACGTCGCGCCCAGAATCCAAGAATCGTTTTATTGTCAGCAAAATCGATGAAGCTGCTGTCATGCAGGCATCAGGTGTCAGCGGCGGCGGTGGCGGTGGCGACAACAGAGTGCACCAACACATAGAAACTGCAGTTCACAGTGCGGAGCACACAACATCCGCAGATAAGTTGCAAGGCGAAGATGTCGCCGCCCATTGTGATTCGCAAAAGTCTGCTAAGCCGTCAAAGCCAAACAAAATGAGAAGACTGTCTAATATGTTGTCTTATAGCAAGCAACATACCAAGTCTGAGAAGTCATCAAGCAGCGAGCGCATCGATGAACAACCGGAACCTGCTGAATCGCGAAAAGTTGATGACGCGTCCGCTTCAAAGAAGCCAGCACAACACAAACGCCGCATTGGCCTGTCTCAACTGTTGCCGCTGGACAGCGAAGAGTTGTACGCGCGCATTATAGCACAAAATCGCGCCACCACCTCAACCATCGCAGGCAAGTTGACAAACGGCGCTGGTGCACCCATCATGAAATCCAGTTCACTAGACGGCATCTCCGCGGCAGCTGCCGCTTTGGTCTCACCGCCTGACACACCTTCGCCGCCCTCACCGCGACGCAGCCTTAAGCAACATAATTGCCTGCATCTTCTTAACGCACCGGCCGCACAGCAGCGCACCACACTCGTCAAGAAACTATCGCTAGATAGCTTCGAAGCGAGTACGTCACGCAAAGATCGCTCGCCGTTGCGTCGTTGGTCCAATCAGATGCCTGTCAAATGCAAATGTATGTCAGTCAGTGATTCGCGTGAAGGTTCACCGATTTCGTTGGCGAGTAGCAACGAAGATTTGTGTACATGCGCGGCTGCTGTCATTGAAGCGCGCGCCGAACAACAACGCCAACAAGAACGCGCGCAACAGCATTTCAGTCGGCTGCTTCATCATCAGCCACTGCAGCATAGAAATACGTGCCCGAATTTCTTGATTTTTAAAGCGAATACAACAGCAACAGAGGCATCAGCCGCTACACTATTGCCATCGTCATTGTCGTTTTCTTCGTCTTCGTCTTGTGTCGGTAATGCCGATTGTGCTTGCGCGTCACTGGATAATTTCAAAAACTTCAGACTGAATGCACCGTCTAATGCCAAAGCGAACGCGAATAATAGCAACAAAGTTGTAGCGTCCGCAGCAGTACCGTCAACGAAGGGCGGCGGCGGTAGCTCAGCGCCGCTGTTGCTGGCCAAGAAAGCCAAGTCTCGCCGCTTGTCGGAGTTTACGCGCGGTGAATTTCTAAACGAAAAACCGTAAGTTTTGTGCAGACATGTTTAAAATTTGATTGTATTTAATTTACAGCAGTCACTTAAAACTAATTTGTTCTCACTCTCCGATTAATTTTGCAAGTATGTATTAAATTGGTAAAATAACCAAATTTTCTAAAAATAAGTTAGATGAGGTTTTGCAGTTTGCCCAAGGCCTAGAAGGGGCGGCACACTAATGTAAGCCATCAAAAGTGATTCGGCTATGTCACGAGAAGTACTGCTGAGCCCATTAGAAAAGCAACGATGCATTGCTAGAACTTTGTTCTCTAGGCTAATGTCAGCTTCATGGACGCTCTGTGGCTGCTGAGGAAGGGCAAATTGAGATCTCTAGGCATCTGGCTTGCCAAAGCTAAGCTCCCTTTAGGTATTTGCAAATCCTCGCCAAGATCGAGAGCTGCTACTACATTCATTTGTGAGCCTCAAAAGCTCCGCTGACCGCGTCCGGTCTCTATCCTGAGTTGATATAAGGTCCATCTGTCCTAGAGTAACCCATCAATAATCGAATGCGCTGACATGCCCTTACTCAGTGACACCACATCGGGGATCGATATTCTAGCACAATTCAACCGTCATGTAGTACAGAAATGCTCGAAAATATAAGCCTTACTAAAAAATATTCGACGGCCGCTTTGATCCGGATCAATTCGTTTATTCGCAATAACATCGGGGATTAACTGCAGTTGATCCAGATGAGGTCCCAGAGTTAATACTCAAAATTAATGCGGGGCTAGTATTGCATGTTCTTTGTATTCTACGTTCTCCGGGTTTTGGGCAGTACGATCTAAAATAATAATATGGTGACTAAATTACCAATAACGAGGTAGAGGTCCTGACTAGTTTTGCATATATGTACTCTATATGCCATGCTATCTGAGCAAACAAGTAAGCAAACAAAGAAAACGAGTTTGGTGACCGTGGTAGCTGCCCAATCAACAATAATATCGCCTGTCAGAGTACAACTTTGATTATATCAACTGCGCCATTAATCCGGATTAACGTTGCCGTCTGTCTATGCTATAACGCACTTTATACTATACATTATGGCCTTAACTATGGACCGTAGTAAGAAAATATTATTATTGTAAATGGTTCGATTCAATAGTAATGTTAGATAGTATCCAACTCTATGGCTCTATCCCCACCGGTCCACTGTTAAATAGCGGGCCTGCTTGCACACGGGTTGGCTTGAAGACAGTCCCCATTCGGTAATTGTTTCAAAGAATTTACAAAAATGATGTACATATACACAACCAATTAACAGCTAAAAATTTACGGAAAAACGATTTTCATGAATGAATTTGCAGACATCGGATAAACAAGAAAATCAAACAAAAAGTGCCGACCGAAAGTCTCCAAATAAGTCAACAATGTTATTAAGTTGAATATTCACATCGCCTTCATTTATTGCATATTTCATCAATGAGCATTCGAGGCAAAAATTAGCATAAAAATATTTGTACATAATACTAAAATAATGCACACGCTGGCACACAAAAGTACACATCATTGTGAAAAACCTGTGCCAAATAGTCATTGTATTCTATGAATGGAATGCCAAGCGTCATTTTTGCATTCGATTTCCAATAACAATGTATCTATGTATCTTCATTAACATGGAAATCGCCAGACAGATGAATGATAATAAATTCGCAATTTTCGTAAATTTATACATATGTAAATGCACATACAGTCGCGTCAAAAATATGCCTATTTTTTTTTAAATAAAAATATAGTTCGCACAACAGAAAAAATCGCAAGAATCGATAATTTCATACAGAACTCGGAGGGAAAATGCAAGAAACTCCAAGAAATTTTCAATTTTTCAGTTCGATTTCTTACAAAAACTTTGAGTAAGCAGTTTTTTAGCCCATTAAATTTTAGTATAATGAAATGCAAGTGTAAAGTCGATAAACATTACCGTTGATTTTAGAGAATTTTTTTTTTTTTGCCAAGGATGTTGGACAATTTCTGTTTTTTTACAAACTTAAAATTTTTCAAAGAAATCGAATATAAAATTTTAAAATTTCGATGAACATTTTTCACAATTTCCCGAGTTCTGTATAAAATTAAAAAAATTCATTCTTGTCGTTTTTGGCTGTTGAATGAACTTTATTTTTATAGAAAAGTAAGAAAAGTTTGACAGGAAAAATTCAAATAAATAAAATCGTCAAAATGTCAGGGTATGCATTTTTTTTACGCTGACTGTGTGCACAAAAATATGAGTGCGTTAGTCAGGCAACAATAATGATTGGCCGTTTTGTCGTGGACGACAAAAAAAACCCTTAATAATGAATTAAAATTCGATAAAAATTACTATGCAAGCAATGTAAAATACATACCGACATATATAAGTATGTATTTGTATTCGTACATTAATTCTCAATTCAAATGTAGCAAAAAACATGCAAACTTACATACATACATATATGTATACATATGTACATCTAATCATACATTGCTACGATTATGTAGGTGGGGTAGCGGCGTTTAATGCTTCTCTAAAATTAGGTCATGTTAATAAGTTTGTATTTCGGCCTATTAGCGTGCATTTTAAATGCTACTATTTATACTAAAAACGAGGGCATATTATTTGTAGTATGTACTCTAAAATCATTTTATGATAGTTATTTGAAAACAATATGAAGGTAGAAAAGTGAAAAATAAACATTATGCGGAAGGTTGCATGATTACGAGGGGAAATACCATGACAAGCGAGGGTTGGATTTTAAATTGCTATAAATTAAGTTACGGCTTTGCCTATTTATTTTTGTATGATTCAGCTTTTATGAACTTTAAAGAACGTATAAAATAAGACAGGTTCAAAAAAAAAATAAACTTTGGGAATTAGTTCCAATGATAATGATTATTTTAGTTAAAACTTTGTTATCAAAACACCTAAAAGTTTAATGGTTCGCTCTTTTTTTTGTTAATGGTAACTTTTACGAAAAAATGCCTACAAAAAATATTAAATTACGGTTTTCGTTAGACCAGCTTTTTTCTAGCAATAGGCATATTAGACTGTCCCGATAAACCTAAGTTGTTTTTGTTATTAACGCATAACCCTTCAGTTTATTGGTTTTGTCTTAAAAACTATCCAAATAAAATTGTATGCAATTCGGATCACGGCAACCCGTGTCGACTTGCAGTCAAAATCCTGTGAATATATATAAGGATATTAAAGGATAAAAATTACACAGGATATTTTTTAAAAAATTTCAACCCTGCCATCCTATTAAAACTTCAGAGTTGCAGATTTTTACTATAAATGCGTTTAGATATGGGAAACATTTCCCGTTTCCATAGTTTTCATGAATGATTTGGTAGCTTTAACTCAAGTTATTAACTAAACTGCATTCAATGCAGTGTTCAAATGATTGACGTCGATAAGGCAGATCAATATTTACTTTGAAGAAACTGCAGTGGTGAGAAACTGGCTACAAAAAGTAATTTTGGAATTGTAAATAGATATTGAATGCAGAATGGTTGGGCATACAATGGACTGATTGCCTGTGAACTGGTTTTGCATGAATGGGCCTCATGTAAGATATTTCTCGCTCAGAGCCAAGGCAGCTCATTTGGCATACACAGCCACAACTCTCCATTTTATTTGAGAACAACCCTAGTGAAATTTCCCGGCGAATAATTTTCTAGATTATTTTAACCTTCTAGCGACCTTGCAAATACCACTTTATTCAGACTTTCGCGAAAACGGGGTCAAAACGACCCTTTCGTGAGAGAGCTAATGGCTTAAAATGTTTTAAAAAATAATTCCTCATAAAATACAGAAGGATTTGGAGGTTTTATTAAATAGATATATCATTCTTAGTTGGAATCATTTCGCCCCAAAAATGATGTTGCACTGCGTAATTGGCCACGAATTTAATAAATCGGTCGAATAGTTCACAAGTCAATAGCCGGCATGCAAACATTAATTGATATTTTGTATACCTACATTCCTCACTATGTGTATATGTGCATTAGGGTTATCCAACATTTTTTCAAGCCTTTCTTTCGAAACATTAATTTTCCAGTGTATTTTTAGACCACCCTAATATACATATTTAGTATCTATATGTATATATGCATGTGAATTGTACAACAATCGGATTGATTACCAATTTCAAGAACGTAACCAAGTAGTTATTTATGTACGTACATAAATATACTTGCGGTGTGTAACTACCTGTAAATGTGTTTTTTTTTAATAAGCCTTGGCAACTGGCATGCCACCGATCAACGTGACAAAGATACGACAACAACTTACTGCAAATGCATACTACCATACAAACATTTCCTGCTGACATCCATCACATGGATTCATTGCCGATAAAGTTACCCAAAGTGTAGCCAATAAATTAAGGTTATACAACAAAATCAGGCAGCAAAACAAACAGCTCAAATTAAGTTTGATATAATTAAACAAAAAGCTAACTTTTCGCGCAAGGGCCAACACGTGAGACCAGGCAAAGCTTTAATTGAAAATCTGTAATATACACGATCAGCCGTTTACGAATTGTGGGTTGGAACACCTGGAATAACTGTGGGCAATGTATGTTTACGTCTGTGTACTTTTGTCTATATGAAATTGCTTTTATTTGCCATGAAAGCTCCACAAAAAAAAAAAAACTTCTAACAATGGCCAAACCTAGTTGATGACGAGCTGCCTCATCAGCGCCATCGCACAGTGGTTCAAAAATGGCATTTCGCGTTCACAATCCACTGGCGCTTTCATTTTTCACTCAGTTTGATTAATTTGATGATTTTTTTTTTAATGAAAGCTAATAAAATTTTTCAAGAGACCAGTTGAGTCCGATTTTTGAATTTTTGTTTGTTTGTATTCAATTTGTTAAAAAAAATTGATTTTCGTAAAATTTTTTTTATAACATTTCCATTTTTTTTAATTTTTTTTCGTTTTGGCAGAAGTCTACAATTGTTTTCAACTAGTTTCAAAATTGCTGCTCTTTCTACACTTTGCACTAAAAATT